AATAAAAGTCATCTTTCCTAATTAAATAAGAATAACTCAGAAGTAGCGTGTCGAGACGCTGCCACTGTTCCTGCACTCCAAAGCATCGAAACCAGTGGCACCATCGCCTTTCCGTTACTCCGTAATTTATGCAGTATTATTAGTGGCGAGTGGCAGATTTTCTTCGGAAAAAGGAAAAATCGAATGAAGAGGCGCGGTGGGCTGAGAAGGTATGCCTAGTTAAAATTATCAAACATTTCCGAAAGTAAGAGTTAAGAAGTTTTCTTAGTCTTTGACAGCGAGCAACTTCCAAATTTTCAAAAATTACATAATCCCTCGTACGCCTCCCCACCTCTCTGGTCTGCCACATAGTATGACCGCATATAAATGAAAAATTAATGTAAGTATAGAGAAGAATAACTCGCCCTCCTATTTAGGCAAACAACAGGAAACAGTGAGCATCCAAATGAACAGCAACAAAATAACAAACCGCACAACAACCATCGACTGAAGTAAAGAGTTGAGCTGTTTCGAGGAGACATGACTGAATTTAGAAATGCTAAGATCTGCAGGCTCACCTTGACATTTGTACATGACGCTTGAGCACATTATTTATTCGTCCAAGAGTATCTGATAGCTCTTCGGGCGCTACTCGTCCGATTAATTCACTGGGAAAGTCTGTATCAAATCGCGAGTTGAGACCAAACCTAAAACAGACAAAATTTATTTTAAAAATTGAAAGGAGAAGGAGTTTGAACTAGAAATCAATACAGCCAAACTCATGTTCGACTAGAAGTTCGAGCACAACAAAAAATGAAAATACATAAAAAGCATGAACGTTCGCTAGCATGCACAAGTTTGCGCGATTAAATTAGCAATGACGTCCAACAAGTCGAAAAAAGATGTTAATTCGATATTTAGCTTGGCCGAGCATATTGACGATATATGAAGCCCATACATATGCTTATGCTTTCACGACATTCAGCATGTTGCTCCTTCTATGTGAAACTGGTAGTTCTTTTACACGAAAGGATGAAAAGGGGGGAGGGGGGAGGGGTGGGGGGAGGAAAGAATACGCTACAAACAATCAAGCTTGAACATATAAACCGTCTGAAACCCATCTCCGTTTAATTTATTGGGCAATAGCTCGCTACTTCTATAGCAATTAAATGTTTCTTTATTTCGTGTGTAATGTGCAACTACAGCATATGCATGTTAGAATCGGATAAAACACGCTTTTCCACATTCCAGTTACCGACTTCAGCACCCATCTCCGGAAACAAGCACATAACTACGTACTCCATTCGGTTCGACAAATGACTCGAGCTGTTTGTATCTCGAAAGTGCACAGGCTTGGCGATTAGGCAAGCACACAGAGGAAAAGTACGCAAGCTCTTTTAGCTGTGCATGACTAGGGAAGTTGAGAGAGAATGCATATAGAGTTCTGGATAGAAAGAAGTGCAAGGTTCAGAGTTAACCATGCATACGTTAATGCTAAGAAAAACGTTAAACCTTTTTTTT